CTGGCGACATACAATCAGAAAACTAAAGGAAATATTTATGGAAAAAAACCTAACAATCACCATTTGCACTGGGGAAGTAATTACTCCACCTGTAGAAGCGCGGAACAACATAATACGGCAAAAACATGAATCGAGCGTAGCAGGACACAAAGGAATTACAAAAACTTATCAAAGAATACGACAACACTACTATTGGGAAAATATGAAAAAGGAAATTCAAGATTACGTAAGAACATGTAAGGAATGTCAACTGAAGAAACTCACAAGAATAAAAGCAAAATGGTACATACAGACACACCAGGTAAAGCATTCGATAAGATTAGTATGGATATTGTAGGTCCATTACCAAAAACTCAAAAGGGAAATGAATATATATTAACCATCCAAGATTTATTAACAAAATACTCAATCGGGATACCACTAGGAGGAATCTCTTCAGCCGAGATAGCGGACGCTTTTGTAAAGCGATTTATTTGTCGATTTATTTGTCGTTTCGGGTCACCGAGAGCTATTCTCACTGATCAAGGAACGAACTTTACATCCTCACTAATGAAGAAAGTAGCAAAGAGATTCCGCATCAAACAATATACCACGACGGCATATCATCCACAAAGTAACGGTTCAATTGAAAGATCTCACCACGTACTGATAGCATATCTCAAATTATACATTGAAAATTCCAGAAATTGGGACGAATGGGTAGAACTAGCAATGTTTTCCTATAATACCTCAGTACACGAAGGAACGAAATTCTCCCCGCACGAATTAGTTTTTGGACATCTAACCAGAGAACCTACTGGTGAAGCAATAATAGAAGAGAACATGGAACCAACATACGCAGAATATCTCGAAGATCTGTTCGATAAAATTAACACCGTACAACGAATGGCGAGAGAAAATTTGATAAAATCCAAACTAGAACATGGAAACAACATACGCAGAATATCTCGAAGATCTGTGCGATAAAATTAACACCGTACAACGAATGGCGAGAGAAAATTTGATAAAATCCAAACTAAGATCAAAGGAATACTACGATCACCGAATCAACCCTCAAGATTTTAAAATAGGAGATTCGATATATTTACTAAAAGAACCCAGTAAAGGAAAATTCTCCGATCAATATACTGCACCATACAAGGTACTAGAAATCTTGCAGAATCAAAATGTCAAGATTGAAGTAAAAGGGATTCCACGAACGGTGCACTTAAACAAGTTAAAACTAGCGCATAATCGAAATAAGCAATGAATAAAGCGATCTCAGTGGGTAACGTAGTGCAGTAGTGTATGTTGTAGTGCTGTTCGTCGAATAATACAAATATCGAACACCTAAAAGGAAAAAGGAAAATTATTATGCGTTTCGATTATTGCTTAAATATAAAACGTGTTCACTCAATGAATAATTAACTAGTGAAAGTGAAAGTTACCTTGTGAACAAGTGATCAATATACAAGAAAGTGTACGTGCAAGTATAGGTTATGGATCGTTGTTCGTGGAATATAATGTATGACAGCTACCTAAAATAAGCGAATAAATTAGCTTCAATTGTCTCAGTGCAAAATACAAGGTCATTAAATGTTATAACTATATTATGGATAAATCAAAAGGAGGTGTGACACTGTTCTTTG